TAGACATGACTTGAACAAAAACGATAATCCACGAGTGGACATGCAGCCACGTGAGGTCGGTATCATGACCGACCGTTCCCACGTGATTCATGCAACTCTAATACATCGAGGTCGTACAATGAATCCCATCCATAGTATACAATTACTATAGCTCGCGTATTACCTCTCACAGGCATTGAAGCGAGACGCGGGTTGATTACACATCAGTCCCAAAGCCAGGAGATATTCCTTATCTTGTTTTATTTGCATGCTCTATGCACTGCATGTATTTGGTAGAGCGATAGGTTATATGTGAACTCTAATCACAGATACCCTACCACACACAGGATAATACACCAACCAGCAAAGAGGGGAGAAAGAACATGCACCATAAATCAAATAAGGTTGGTGTTAATATTTCATTGAAGCCGCAGCAAACCATGTAATAAGTGACAAAACTGCAGCACAACTGACCACCTCATTTACTAGGATTAAGAGCAACTCTAGCAGACTCCGCATAACGCGCGAACCCGCATAATTCCACGAGTATACGGGCTCGGCCCAATTTTCTGGTCAGAGCAGAGCCCGTATACTCGTCCGACCCTTAAATTTTTTTGCCGCAGCCCGCAAGCGTTACCCCCGAAGCAGTATAACTGCGGGTTTGCGGGGCAGATGCGGGTCGAAACCCTATCCCCTCGCCGCCGTGTTTCCCCTGATTCCCCACTGCGCCGCTCGATTTCTCGCCGCCGGCAAGCCTGCGAAAGCCACAGACGGCTCTGGGGATGAGGCGGAGCGCAGCCGTCGCGCCAGATCTGACGCCGCGCGCAAGCCGGGGGCGCGTCGGTGGCTGAACCGCGGTAGCCGGCCATCGCCGGCGTTCGACCGCCGCGAGCTTGAGGACTTCGATCGCGAGCTCGCTCGCCGCCGCCACGCCTCCTCCGATAACTAGTCCGCATGGAGCTCATCTGCGGGTGCATCGAGCTCGCGGCTCATTCCGGTGAAGAACGAGCCGGAGGAGGAGCTCTCCTCTTGCGTCGTGCCCGATGCGCCACCGCGCCGAGGCGTCATCGGGCCCGAGGACTACCTCCCCCCAGGGCAGCAGGAGCTCCTCGACCGCGTCGTCCTAGAGCGGTCGACGAGGGAGCAAGAGGAGATGGAAGAGCGCATCCGGCGCGAGCTCGAGTACGAGCGGCTCTTCCTCCAGACGGTGTCGCCGCGTCGTAGGCGCACGCGTCCAAGGAGGCTGACCTGCGAGTGATGAAGGCAGAGCAGGCGAAACTCTACATCCACGTCGACTCCTCCGATTCCGATTGAGCGTCGCCGCTGGGAAGCTACCGCAAGAGCTCCGGTGAGCTCAATTTTGTGTAGTGATATGGTAGCGTAGGCCCGGTCTAGCTCCAACAAACTTATATGTAATATATGTATGCTGTGTAGGAAGTTATGTGAAGAAGAACTAACTATGCGAAGAAGAACTATCTATGCGAGCGAGCTCCGGCGAGCTTTTGCTTAAATTTCTCGCGTGAAACAAGTTTTTTAAAATTTTACAGGTTTGGATACAGTTTCTGTTCTGCATGTTTTTATTATCTTTTCTCCGATAGAAACTTTGGGGTCCCCTTGTAGTTCTTTGTGTTGGATTGAGCATTATGAATCTGAAATTGTTTGATACATATCATATAATTAACTCATGGGTACGGGGTATCTAGGTGATATTATAGTTGGTTGATATGTGTCATATGGTGTTATTTTAGTACGAACTCTTGATTAGATCGATCGGAAGGAATAGCTTGATGTTATTTTAGTATGAACTCTAGGATAGATCGATCGGAAGTAATAGCTTTGAGGTGGTTTCGTACCCTACAAACAATTTCTATCTTTTGTTCTCCGCTAATAGAAACGGTAGTGATTCTTTGTTGCATTTTGAGGAATAGTTATATGATCCAACTATGTTAGCCTTGTTGAGAGATTGCACTAGTGAAAGTATGCACCCTAGGCCTCATTTTCCATCATTGCAATACCGTTTGTGCTCCATTTTACTATTCACTACCTTGCTGTTTTTTATTGTTCGCACTACAAAAACTCATATCTACTATCCATACTACACTTTTATCACCATCTCTTCGCCAAACTAGTGCACCTATACAATTTGCCATTGTATTGCGTGTGTTGGGGACACAAGAGATTTCTTGAATATTATTGCAGGGTTGCTTGAGAGAGACTATCTTCATCCTACGCCTCCCACGGATTGATAAACCTTGGGTCAACCACTTGAGGGAAAATTGCTAATGTCCTACAAAACCCTGCGCTTGGAGGCCCAACACGTGTCTATAAGAATAAAGTTGCTTAGTAGACATCACCATCACGTTCATCGCCGACATCACCATTTGATACGGCGTCCCCCACAGAATCATCACCAACAACGGCACCAACTTCGCCATAGGCGCCTTGGCCCGTTTCTGCGCAAACCAGGGCATCCGGCTAGACCTAGCGTCCATTGCCCGCCCGCAGTCAAACGGCCAGGTGGAGCGAGCAAACGGCCTCATCTTGTCCGACATCAAGCCCTGACTGGTCGAGTCACTGGAGCGCTCGGCCGGCTGCTGGATCGAGGAGCTGTCGGCCGTCCTTTGGAGCCATCGGACCACTCCCAACAGATCAACCGGCTTCACGCCTTTCTCCTCGTGTACGGGACCGAGGCTATCATCCCAAGGATATCGAGTTCAACTTGCCTCGCGTCACCATGTACACAGAGGCAGAAGCAAAGGAAGCGCAAGAAGACATCGTCAATCTGCTGGAAGAGGCCCGACTGTTG